TTATTGCTACGAATTGTCTACGCAAGGGTCTACGCGTTACGCTTAAGTTTTATTAAATGTACCACACGACCGCTACAATATTAAGTACCGCTTTCTAGGTTTACGACTTTATAACGACGCGCTAAACAGTGAATTATGTTGAAGTAAATGTGTCGCATGATTATTTTATTCCCAGTTTGTAAAACATAACATAGAAATATGCATATTATTGTTGGACTGTACGCATTACTATTCTACGGTGAAACTCCGAATTGTATTATTTTTAATTTTTTATTTAATTAAAGAGACGTAATTTTTAACGCTTTCAAACGTTGGCTCCACATACGTATTATACTGTTTTCTGCCTCGTTTTATCCCTGTATTAGATTTTAGTAATATATATTTTCAAAATGACTCGTTTTACACAATAATTTCAATTGGTATTCATACACATTACCAATATTATTAAAATTCAAAACATAATATATTTTTATTATCTATAGCACTATAATGTGCAATTTATTATCTGAATACAAAGCAGTTAATTACAAATATCGCTGTTAAAATAAATGAGCAAATAATTATAAACGGCATTTGATATTCTGTTAGGAGCGGGACGTTACCGCAAAATGCAATCTGAATTAGGAAACCGCTAGGTGTGGCGGTGACGGCCTCTTTACCGCGACCTGCCTGTCTGTGTTTACCAACGAAATTTACGATAAATCCCTGTATAATGTACAAAAAAAGATTGTAATATTTTTACTGTTTAGATTAATATCAACTATTACTTAAAATAAATTTAATAAATATAAGGATTGTTTATTCTAAGTCAGAATCAATTAAATTAGCAAAGTGCGAAAAACACAGAATACTGAAAATAATTGCACTTACAGTAATTTTATAAAACTAACAATGCAATACTTTCTAGCCACGGGAACATTATTGCCAAATCTTCAATTCAAATTTATCTAACCTGAATGACACTAGTTTATTCTCGTAGCGCATTTGAATACTGTTGAATTCTTTTATTCCACTTTCAACATAATCAAAGTTTACAGCAACTAGTAAACAAACCACAAATATAAATATTAAAACAAATATTTAAATATCATATCTTCAACGTACACTCCTCATAAGATCTTGAACTAAGACTCCCTTCACGAACGTAGGAAAGTTTCCTAACATTGAGTTAATCTGAGCCCGCAACAGTAGGAAGCTGCGATAGTTGACTCGGAACTTTGCATCGTAAAGTCGAAGTTGTCACGACCACTCGGGACCTGGTATCGGCGTTAAAGTGGACTTGTCGGATGCAGTTCCCGTGTTAAGGGAGGATATATCTTAAATTACGAACAATACGCGACTTCAAGTTGCATGAAAGTTGCAGCGGAAAGCTTTTGACCCAATTTAATTATCTTCTTACACTAGAAAGGTAATTCTCATTTATATTTATACGATTATCGCATTAATATATGATAATTAGCTGTTCCAGTGCGGCTTCATCCGCATGAAATTATGAAAATTTTATTTTATTGTTTATATTTATCAAATTATCAATAGCAAATGATGACATCACGTGACAACCTTGGCATTCTTGCTTTCTTGATGTTGGCATCAACTTATGGTCTCTTTCCTATATTAGGGTCTTTATCCAAAATATTTACCCTCTAAGTTTAATGGCGTGAAAATATATAGCCTAAAGCGTGACGTAAGTGTAGGGCTTTTTCTTCAAAAAAGAGATTTTCAAAAATATGCTGTAATTGCTGACATCTTAGGCAACAAAGAAGTGTGTGTTTACAATAGTATAGATTTTAGATTTTAGAGGCATATTTTTACGGAACCTGGTTTATTAACCTACATTAATATATTTAATTTTAATAAATAGAATACGGTTGATATGTACAATCGTACTTATTATCTTTAAATTACTTTATACGTCGAAATTTAAAAAAATGAAAATATAACGCAAGAGTTAAATATTGTTACAGCAAATGTATCACCACAGAAGATAAATTATATTCAAAATACTAAGTGATATGCGCAAAATTTAAGTCTCAGTTACAAAGTACGATCGAGTAGCGCGTTCACCCGGGAACTTGAGACTCGCGCTTAGTATCCGGGTAACAAGAGATTTGGGGCTTCAACGACCAATATTTACCCGGGCCTCGAAATATGAGATAATGTATTTGGTTTGCGATACCCGCGAATACGGATATTTACGCATCTAGGCGCCTCGATCGGAGAAAGTAAAGAGCACACGATGAGATGTAATTTAAAATATTTGTTTTGATTCCAAAAGGATTTAAAAATCTGCTACGTTTAGAAATCGAGGAAAGGATAGTAACGTTTTTAATAGCTTTATCCGATAACCTGAAAAATAATCGGATGAACTTTAACTAAAAGTGTCAAAAGATAAAATTTCTTAGTTATTCCGAATAGTTTCGTACATGTCTAAGAAAACATGAACATGAAGTCAAATGTTTCATTTGACTTTTCACTAAGCTGTTATCTAATGTTGGAAACATTTATTAACTAATATTACTTCCGGCACATACTAAATTAACTTTCACATAATCCACTATTAGTAAATATAACACTTGAACACACCGATTCGTCTGCGTCCCGAGATTATCATAAAACACCTTAGCAAACAACCCGTAGGTTATTGTTACAGATCGCTTAATGTTTGCTCGAACTGAACAGACGCCTCGAGCTTGTAAGTAAACCAAATCTCCGAGGATAGATGAATGGAAAACAAATGAATCACGATCGATATTCTTTTGTTTCAAGATAAACATTTCTTAAGCCCTACACACGCTCCTTTTTATCTTACAGTTTTCTCTGAATAGTCAAAACTGAAACTCAATGTTACCTACACATGTTCGATTTATCTGAACGATCGGACTGTTCGGATAAATCTGAGCGTATTTACAAAGCTGTTATGAGCGTGTTGTATTTTAAGAAATTACTTGAAAATGTTAACGGGTCTCAGATAGCAAATGGAGTACCGACAAAAATATATGGTACAGTTTTAGTTTGAAATTTGCACGTTAGTTGAATAAAGCCGAGAGATAATCCAGTTTGCAACGCCACTAATAGTTTGAGCGCTGTTTAAATTACACGGGCGCACATTTGCGACAGAGATTCGAGCAAATTCAACGATATACTCCGATTATTGTCCGAGAGAATAAAAAACTGCGTTCATATTGAACAAAACAAAGCCGCAAACCTGAGCAATTTGCTTTTGCAAACGCTACACCATGCAATATTGTGCTTGTTTCATTTTTGCGCACGCCGCGTCGACTCAAAATGTATTTCGCGCGTAGAAAATATTTGGATGTGAAATTGTGTTGTTTTTGGAAGTGGAAATGTGTGAATTGTTGACAGGCAAAGGTTATGTTTTCCAATAACACCGGGAAGCGGAAATTTATTATTTCCATATTTTGCACTATATGTACATGTTAACTTAGTACAATAGTAAATGAATCAGATAAAATTGTATGAAAGCGAAAAAAGAAAAGAACAACAAAGGTATAAAGAGGTCGTTTTAAAATTGGAATGAAATTTAAAAATTGCTGGCCGTTTTAAAACAATGAGTTTGAACGTCTGCGCCGTCACAACTTCATTATTCACTCGACATTCCTTTTTCAAAAATACGAGAGAAAAAAAGACGAGCAGAAAGTTCTCTACATAGCATACTGCATGCCTGCGTGAGTTTCTAGAATTTTCCACGAGAGCGCACTTTTGAATGCTCGTAGGTGCATCCTAGACGATGTCTGGGAATACATAATGCAAATGTGGATAATTATTATGCAGACAGTAGTAATATGTCTTATTTCAATGACGTTATTGCACTCTAGACGAGGAAATGAAAATATCTTAGGAGGCGTACTTATGATCAATAATAATAAATGGTCTTTAATCGATTTTTTCAGCACTTCATAGTAAGGTTTAGAGTCGTAATATAAGAGAAAACTAAATTTAAACCCTCAACAGTTCATAAAAGAGGATGTAATTGTATTAGCAGACCGTGGACTGGCCTAATGCAAAACGCCTCTCCCTTGAGACAAACTCAATTAATTCCTCTCACAACACAGGTCACCCTCGATGAAAGCCTTTTAATTTTTTAAGACATTTCTACTGAAAGAGCTTTTTACTACAGCAAGGCTAATTTACGTAGCAAATAAATTACGCCTTTGACTGGATTAGATTCTATTTGAAAAAAGAAATTGAAAGATATTTCAAGTACTGAATTTAAACTTGTGTGAATCGATTATTCAAAACGGTTCCCAGAGTCGTTTGATAACTACTTTATTGTTTTTTAGTAATTTAATCGACACTAAAGATACCCGTTCAGTAAACATTAAATTTTTATTAGATCATAATAATGTAGCATTTTATTCTAAATAAAAAATTAAATGTAATTATAGTACTAATTTTCTTCATAAAACTTAATTAATCGATGTTTATAAGTGTTTGGGTAAGATAAGGCGTAATTTTAGTGGTTTATTAATAAATTTGTCGTATAAAAAGTTAGTAGGGTTGGGGCGGAGTGCGCATGTCGGCGAGTAACTTGTTGGTCCGCGGCGTGTATCCGAACGGCAGTGCGGCGCGGAGACGCGGACCAGCCGCCCAGCGCGTGTCCCGCTATTTTCTAACCGCTACAGATTATCGAGAACGCGTTCCGATTTACAATCGCTCGTTTCAAATATAAACGGTTAAATCTTTCGTTCCTTATTTTTGTTATTTCATTGTGAATTTGATTTATTTTGTAGTTCCGTTGTCATTACTTAATTAGTTGTTTTTTTATAATCAATTAAAAGTTTTAGGTTAAGATTGTTAGTTTATAATTTTTTAAACATAATGTAATTTATTTTTTTCTGTAGTTTATAGTTAACAATAATTTTAATAGAAAATTTGTTCACACAATATGGATACGACATGATGATAGTTTATTTAAAATGTGAAGACAATGTACTGTAAAGTGAAATTTAAATGATTGGAGGTGAATTTCTGTTAGCGTGATGGCGACTAGAAGGTTTCTTATCGCTTGGACGATCTGGCTCGCGTTGCCATTGGCAACTGGCCATCTTAATGTGCTCATTAGTCAGGCGGAGGTGAAAAAGTTATTAGGTAAGATCTAGTTTTAAAAAGAGCGTTTGTTTTATGCTTGTACTTGTATTATATATGGATAAGCAATATCTTTCAAAGGCCTTGACCGTTACTGATTGAAAAATAAAAGAGTTCTTTGTTTGTTTGGTTCGATCTAAGATAATTATATATTTTACAAATGCTTTGTGTTATGATTTTTTACATGTCAGGATAACAAACTAAACATTATAAATTCTTGAAGAGTTTTAAAACATTTGCCATTGCTAGTAGATTAATACTCATCTATCAAGTTAGACTTAAAAATTAGAACCATAATAGAATAGAAGCATTTTTTTCACTTCAAGAGTATGTAAACCACTTAAGTTACGAGCGCTATGAAATTTCGACTTAATATCTTACTGTTTTAACATGCACAGCTAATGGTTTGTAATAATGGGTGTATTTTGACACTTAATTGTCTTTCACCCCATGTTTGGCCTACTTCCATACAAAATAATCGATTTCCAACAATGTATTAATCGGTGAATGTGAGAAAAATATATTGAAACTAGCTTGCTAATTTAAAAAAAAAAAAACAAAATTGAGTAGCCGATGTGTTCTTTCAGACTATTCTCTACATACCAAATTTCCTCGAAATCTGTTTAGCCGTTAAGGCCACAAACTCTAACAAACATCCATCCATCCATCTATGCATCTAAATATTGCATTTATAATATTAGTATGATATATCTGTCATTTTTTCTTTGTTAAAAATGTGAAAGAAACTCCTTTCTGGCCTTTAAAACTAGTAAAAATGAGGCCAAATGACAAAAATTTCATATTGTTCTAAAGGTCCTCGATCTTGTCACCTTTTACGAGTATCCTTTGTTTTTATCTGCTTTTTAACTGCAGTCGTGATTATTTTGTGATATACGTATGAATATGCTATATTTTTAATACTTTTCAAGTAAAGTATTTCCCAATACATACTCGTACATTATATTGATATTTGCATAAGGAATATATTACACGTGGAATTTATAACGATCTTTCGTTTACCGACGCTCGATCGACTCGTATATCGGTGAAATATGTTTTCGTAAAATCTACATGAAAATGTTATGTGATATTTTAACATTTTATTTATAAATATTAAAAGTACTATATTATAGTACCGATGAGACTAATATGAGATACCTGATCTGTTTTCATATTTTTACATATAAAAGTCATGTAACATTATTTTCGCTAATGTAACAATTGTCTCTTAAAATATTAAATATAGCTATTACTCGCAACTTCGTCTCCGTGAAATTAAAAAATTATATAGATACTCGTATAGCTTTAGTTACTCACAGATAAATTACCTTTCTAATCGTAAGAGTTTTTGAAATCGGCCCAGTAGTTTTTAAGTGCTTCACTACATACAAAAATACAAATCTTTCCTCTTTATAATATTAGTATAGACTATAAATTGAACTAAAAAATTTTCAATATTTAGGGACATTGCTTAACGATTAAAAAAATTGCAAATAAAAATGAAAAAACCATATGAAAATTTTTCTCTATTCAACCAGCGAAATGCTAATTTTTACCGTAATTAAATTTCCCGTTGTTATTTTGGTGTGATTGTTTTTTTGTTGCTATATTTCTATAGTCTAAATTAATTGTTTATATCCCAATTTATGTAGGAAGCATATCAAAGTTTTGTGTCCTCAAGAGACGTAACTTCAATTTCTGCTTAAACCTCAGCAAATTCGATAGAATGCGCAAGTAATTTTAAGTTTAAACGAGATATTGACAGACGAAATTTTAGATACGTTAATGCACACTTTCAGCGTAAAGAAAATTATAGAAGAAAAACAGACTAAGATAAGTCCTCATGTCCTTTAAAATCACATTTTAATTTGATTTGTAAGTACTATTCATGGATCGAACCAAATCGAAATAACGACAATATGTACAAAGGCTGAGAAAAAATATGAAAATACAAAAAGTATGTTGAACCTAAAACATAGAAAAGATACAAAACTTTTTTCAATCTATTTGGTAGGCAAAAAATTTATAAATGGCGTGGCTCACGCACTAATTTCTTCAAATGTTTTTTTGCATCAAATAACATTGAAAACCTTAATTCTGTTAACCAATTACTGGTTACTATAACTTTAATACTCACGTCAAACTTTTTACAATTAGATAAAAATTCATGTACCGCAAATTACTCGGTGCCTGTGACAAAAAGTTACCAAACGTTCCCATTGCCGAAACACCTATAACACTTTATTGTCATCTCGTTTACTCCTTTATAAAATAACAGAGATAACACTAGCTTTTCGTAGAGGTTGCACACACGACACATCGAAGTCTAACCGTCGCATCGACCCGTTTGATTTATGACTTTGTACCCTTAAGTTTTTTACTTACAAATAGTTCAACCCGCAGTTTTTGTACGGGCATAAATCTAACTGTACGACCTTTGTATTTTTTGCTGGCTTTTTTCCTATTGTGTGATAGATAAAAATTGTGTACTGTTGTTTTTGTTAATGTAAAAAAACAGTACCAATTTAAATATAGCTATACGAGAAAGTAAAAAAGCTGTATGTACATACTATGAAGCGCCAATAGCCTATTGGTTAATGGTACGGATTCCTTGGTTCGAATCCCGCCATTCGACTATTATTTATTATTTACTATTTATAGAAGTTACCACAAATCTGCTAAAAAAACAAGAAATATATCGATTTATTAAAAAAGTAAGATATTTTTTTTTGTTATTTGCAGGGATATAAAGAATATCTAATTTAAGCTTCTATTTTGTTGCTTTATTTACAATACTCTTATCTTTGACACTATCAAAACATGTCGAATACAAAGACCTTGCGCCTCCGCAGAATTGAAGTCATCCCCCGCTTCGAAGATCAAAAAAAAATGTAATTATCTACCCCTGATCTACCCTCAACCATTTATATTTGTTCTACAAATTCAACGTATTTCGTATACGCAATTGGACTTGTATCCATTGCACCATGACAAAATGACGGACAAATATTAATGACGTAAATAAATTATGGTAAGATGTATAAATTTTAAAAATAGCAATAAAAAGTATACAGCGTTTACAATAGCTACTAGGCATTTGAAATCAAGCAAGAATGTTTCTTATCTATTTAAGGTTGCACTAAACTAAGCTCACCTACTAAAACGATTTATGACTCAACCAAGAGTGTAGTTACTACTAAAGCGTACTTAAGGAAACTTAAACCAAGAAAGTTATTTATGGTTAAGTAGTTTAACGATAAAGGTCAAAGCGGTGCGGATTATCCTTAAAACTTTTTAACTGTATTTATGTAAGTTTACATATAAATTGTGTTTTTTAACATATTTGTCAATTTAGATATATGCATTTCTTTTTAGGATTTTATGTACTACTATTAGAAACTGTACATTATGAGTTGTTTTACTCTTAATAAATTTAAGAAAAAGGAGATATTAAATTATTAAGACGTCACATTTTCCGTATCGTATAACAATGGAAACAAAGTAAATCGCACATCAAGTAGTTTATTACTTTAGGGAGCACACGTCACAGCATAGCATTGGGATCTTATTCCAGATAAAGATAGTTACTATCTCGAAAAGCATACAGATGAATAGTATTACTTGTAAAGTAATTAATGGCGAGAAAAATAAATAAAATCTATTTATTTACTTATTTAATAAATAAAATGTAAGATCAAGCATTGTCTCACTGTTACTTACTAACTTATAACATACATGCGAACGTTTAGATAGATGGATGTTTGTTAGAGTTTGTAACCTAAACGGCTGAACAGATCTGGATGAAATTTAACATAGATGTAGGATGTCTAGAAGTACACATAGGCGACTTGTCTTTTTTTTAGTGACACGCGATCGCGTACGAAATCTAGTTAATATTAAAAAATTGTATCTTACTGTATTTTTATTTGTGGTTAGTAAATAAACGTTTTTTGTCAACTGTCAAGAAAAACTTACTGTATTATCTTCAAACCTACTACTAGTAATACTAATCTAAAGAAACATTTTTCAATTTTAATTTTATAAATCCTGTACTTTCTATACTAGGTCAAATTATTAAAATAAAGCGATTATACACACATTACAACATATAAATCATTTCTATAAACGACAATAGCGTGTGTCAGAAGTAATAGAGGAGTGATAGAAGCGACATCTGCCCGTAAGGGGAATTAATGATTGTTCAAACATCAATTTGGACGGTGTCTTATCGCCTCGCGCCATAGCGTGGGGCGGGAACTGGCAAAGGCAACTTAATGCCTGCATACGGCATGATAATTGTCAGCTTTTATATTTACTGTTTGCTGTAATTCGAAGCTAAAGTGATAAACCTTACAGTTGAAGATGATTTAATTTTTGAGAATAGTTTTTTTTTTGGTGATTATTAACTAGTTATTCTTAGATTTCTCTACTTTAACAACAATGTCACGGGTTTTATATAATTCAAATAATAATGTTGCCGAAATAATTAAATTTGTAATATAAACTGAGAAAATGAATATTTATTAAATTTACACTTATAAATGACTAGCTGCTGCTCGCGATTTCATCTGGGTGAAACTAAGAAATTATAAAAACATAGCCTATGTTACGCACTGAAAATGTAAATGTTAAAATATTTTTGAAATCGGTTCACTAGTTTTTGACTTATTCCAATACATACGAAAGTCCAAATATTTCCTCCGGAGATATTAAGATTCGTTTCAATATTTGTCTGTGAATGTCGTAAATCATCAATTTATAAATAATCATCCTTCAAAAGTTAAATGTTAAATGATTTAACATCGTGTTGTCATAAATACTGACAGACAACGAGTTAATGTTCGTCCATTTGGTTGGTATTGCGTTGCTTTTTAATTGGACAGATTGTGTCCCGTTATTTTTCAAACGTTAGCCCGCCATCGTTCATCACGACGTATGATTTAGTGGGTGCGTAGTGGATACAAATTGCCATCGGTGTTGGAGTTAGTTAACGTCTCGTGTGT